AGTACCCGAAAGATCGTACCATGAGCAGTTGAGAATTTACCCGGGAATTTCCCGCAAATGGAAATCAATTCTGGAGGCAGGGGTCATGACAGCAACATTGGTGCGCCTTGGGCTTACACTGGTCCTCCTCCTCCTCCTCCTCCTCCTCCTCCTCCTCCTCCTATCCACCCTCCCTCCCCCTCCACGAGGAAGGAGGAGGATAGGGGAGGGGGGGATAGGGTAGTTCTGGGAGGTATCGGTGGGTCCTGCGGGGGCCTGTGGGGTTCTAGGGGAATTCTTCGACGTTCGCGAGCAAACAACAGAACATGCAAACCACTCAACGTCGGCCTCGTCATCCGAGTCTTCCCTCTCTCTCGCCCCCCTCGGCCACGCCCTCCTTGTCCTCTTTCTCTTACTCCTGCTCGTCGTCTTCCTCCTCGTTTCCTCTGTCGTTCCGCGTCATCCCCTATCACCCTCTTTCTCTGCCTCCTCCTCATCCTCATATTCCGCCTACATGTGCTCCTCGTTTTCCTCTTCCTCGTCCTGCCCGTAATCGGGACGAAGAGGGGGAATTCCCTCCTGGAGCCTACTGGGGCCTCCTGAGGCTTAGTGTGGCCTCTGGGAGAGAGAGAGAGAGAGATAGAGAGAGAGAGAGAGAACGAACGATGGCTTTCGACCTTTCTCGTCGTCGTGGTCGTGGTCGTGGTCGTGGTCGTGGTCGTGGCCGTGGCCGTGGCCGTGGTCGTAGTCGTGGTCGTGGTCGTGGTCGTGGTCGTGGTCGCAGTTGTCGTCGTCGTCGTCGTCGTCGTCGTCGTCGTCTATTCCAATCGGGGGCCGTCCTCCTCCTCCTCCTCCTCCACTTCCTGCAACCTCCTCCAGAGGTGAAGAAAATCAATGAGAAGGAGGATTAGGAGCCGCATGATGACGAAGAGGAGGGGGAGGAGGGGGAGGAGGAGGATGAGGAGGAGGAGGAGGACCAGCTTCACAACATTACTTCATGCTGCACGTGTATATCGTCTCTCTCTTCGTTCGGTTCGTACTCTGATAAGTTTTGACTATGGTTATCGTTCACTCGACCTCCCCTCCCCACGCATCGCCTGGCTAGTGCACGCTCTGAGCCCGTGGGCGCCCTTTTGTTTCCTGCTCTTCTTGCCTGTCCAGTTCATCTGCGCCAGCCAGGTCCAACTCGTGTTCTGCACCGCTAAGTAGGCATTCTGTTTTTCATGCACGCTCCAGGTTTCCACCCAAAGTTTGCGCCACGTTAAAGAGGAAGGGGAGGAGGAGGAGGAGGAGGAGGGGAGGAGGAGGAGGAGGAGGAGGAGGCGGAGGAGGCGGAGGCGGAGGCGGAGGCGGAGGAGGCGGAGGCGGAGGCGGAGGCGGAGGAGGAATGAGGAAGGAGGAAGGAGGAGGGGAGAGGGGGAGGACAAGGAGGGAGAAAGAAGGAGAAGAAGGATGTCGGGGGAGGAGGAGGAGGAGGAGGAGGAGGAGGAGGAGGAGGAGGAGGAGGACTTGAAGTTATATGGCTCTGGGGCATCTTGAACCCGTTAGTGGACCCAGTTTCTAAGTGTCACTACCTTTGAGAGCGCCCGGTGGGGACGAGTGTCCATCGCGGTTGACACATAAGGTCAGGGCAACCACTGGGCAGCGCGAGGGCGTACACTGAGGGCTTCCCAGTGATGCCGAGGGCAAGGATTAGGGAGGATCAAGGAGGATTTTGAGAAGGCCAGAAATGAAGGATGAGGAGGACGAGAAGGAAGGACGACGACGAACTCGGCCGGAGCTTGTCAGGGGCTACTGCGCCTGAACAGGCAGGAAAAAAGAAAGAGGATCAGAGGGGATGTGATGGGGCCGAGGACGATCCTCCGCTTCTTTGGCCGGCTGCGTCTCCGTATCCTGCCCCCCTCTTGCAGGGGAAAAGTTCGTCATGCAGCGGAAAAGTACTCCTCCTTTTCCTCCTCCTTCTCCTCCCCCTCCTGCTCCATCTCCTCCTCCTGCCCCTGCAGCGCGAACGCAGCATGTATGCTGCAAACCGAATGATGATATAGCAATCGATGAATGCTTCGTGGCCGCAAGCAACTACTCTCCCACCAACATGCGTGTTTGGATCGCAGGTTTGGCCGGACCACCGCCCTCACCCCGGCCCTGCTCTGCCTTTTGGGCCTCGTCTCGCCCCCGCAAGAGCGAACGAGACTGAAGGGGCGCCCGTGCCGTGCGTCTCTCCGCGCGGTCCCCTCTCGTGGCCTTCCCGCGCGCCTCCCCGCCCCACCACGTATTGCCCCCCGCCCCCCTCCCCGTGTGGCCTTCCCCGTCCCCTCCCCCCTCGCTCCCCCCTGGGTTGCCCCCCCACCCACCCACGGCGACAACCCCGCAACGGCCGACCACACTCCGGGAGGAAGTGAAGCAATCCCGTTCGAGCCCGCTCAGTCAGCGAGGGACGCAGACCGACTCTCCCCTTCTTCTTCCTGCTGCTCGCGCCCGAATTGCTGCCTCTCCTCCCGCGCAGAACTGCCCGGCGACATGAAGACTTGGTTCGGCTAGATGTCGAGATGTTCTGAAGCGTGGATGGCCCCAGACAACTCCACGAGCGCATTCAGACCAGGTTTCCAAGCGGATTCAGCAGTGGCGACGAAAGCCTATGAGGCCGATCAAAAAACAAGTACATCATAATCGTTTGCAGCCCTCCGCCTCGTTCGCGTCGTCGTCCTCCTCCTCGTCTTCCTCTCTCCCCCCTCCTCCTCCTCCTCCTCCTCCTCCTCCTCCTCCACCTCCTCCTCCTCCTCCTCCTCCTCCTCCTCCTCCTCCTCCTCCTCCTCCTCCTCCTCCTCCTCCTTCCTCATCTCTCATCATCCGTCTCCTCCTTCTCCTCCTCATCCTGCTGCTGCTCCTCCTCCTCCTCCTCCTCCTCCTCCTCCTCCTCCTGGCAACCTCGCTTCCGCAGGCCAAGACGTATAAATGGTGGGCTCCAGGCGGCCCTCTGTCAGGAGGGCCAGCCAGCTGCGCGCACTCTCAACGTCGCCCGACTGCGCCGCCGCGTTGATCATCGTGTTGAGATTGGTGACGTTCGGCCGAACGGAGCAGCGAAGCATGTGCGAAAACCAGCGACTCGCCACCGAAGGGCTGCCCGACTTGGCCGCCGCATCGACCACGGCGTTGTACTCTACAAGGTCCGGCGGATGTAGGGGGCTGCCCGACGCACGACCGCCCCAACGCAAATACACTCCGTGCCAGGTTTATGCTGATTTCCTCTCCGCCAAATCTCCACCCCACTCCCTAAACCCCAGAGACGGCAGCGCCCTGCGAGATACAGTAGCGAGGCCCCCGTGACAAGGCCTCGGGGTGCTGCCCCAGTAAAACATAGATCGTCCTCACATTGACCTTCAAGGCCCATTTAACCATTACAAGCCATGCTGCCCTGATGCAGACATGATACAAGCGAACATTGTGTTGGGCTGCCGGCGGAAGCTGACAACCTACATGACAGCCCGACAGTGAAAGGCGTTCTCCAAATCGGCTTGCCCATACCTCGGACCCGCTGGAACGGAATGGGGTGATTGGTCGGTCCCATAGCCATGACTGCCGATGCTTGCTCGCTTCCTAGCGGGACGGAGCAACGCAGGGCAGGAAAGAACACGCACGACTCCTCTCCCTCATACTTATCCGCCTCCTCCCGTACGTGCCTGGAGTACGCACCTGTTCCCCCATCGCTGGCCTCGTTGGCCTGAGTAAATGTGTCGAACGTGCGCCAAAACATGTTTGCATAACATGCTGTAGCTGCTGCCACTTAGACGCTCTCTGCCAAGAACCGGTCCTGGTGCTGCCGCGCACCGATGCTTGCTACCTGTGCGCCCTCCACACCCGACGTCAATCATACGACGCAGGACCCGTGTTCGAACGCTGGCTCGCTGCCTATGCCAGTTTCGCGACAAGATAGACATGCTTGAGGAGGAGGAGGAGGAGGAGGAGGAGGAGGAGAAGGGATTTAGACGTTGCTTGTGATATGCGTTCCATCTAGGCGCTTCCCCAACCTTTCTTCTACGACACAGGACCCGTGTTCGAATGCTGGCTCGGTCCCTTTATCAGCCTCGCAATGTGATAGACATGGTGGAGGAGGAGGAGGAGGAGGAAAAGGGGGATCTAGGCATCGTCGTCGATTGGCACGTGCTGTGTCTGCCAATCGTGTAGGCGCGTCAGCTAGACCTGGCGTGCGCCACCGAAGCATCGCACGATCAGCACCAAGGGCACTCGCGATTGGCATTACGCAGCAGGCGTCGTGGCGCCTGTCGCGCTCGGTCGTGCTGTCAGTAGCAAAAAACATGACACCTTGTCATGCATGACACATGAATGCCGCTACACGTTGAAGAAGAGTGTGCTACTGGATGGGTCATGCTGACATGCTGCCTCTGGAAGATACCTCCGAGGATCGTCTCTGACTTTCTTGATCTATGTTGCTGCTCTTCCTCCTCGTGCTGCTGCTCATTCTTCTCCTCCTCCGTCTCACACTCGGAATCCACTCTCCCCTCTTCCTGCTCTCGCCGAGCTTCTGCCAAGTGCCAGCGTTAGGAGGACGCCAAGTACACACCTACACATAACCTGCTGTGGCCCACCCCAGGCCTGGGATCGAAACCTACGCCCCCCTGGCATGGCCAGGAGGAGATGTGCACCGATCCTGGCACCAGGACCCGCCCAGCCAGCACCAGCGGACGTGCGGACGTGGGGACGTGCCGACGCTGCGAGCTGCCAACCTGCCAGCCGCCAGATGGCCAGGCGCGACCCTGAGCGCCAACATCCGCCTGTCGGCCAAGCGCACAAAGGGGGTAAGGGGGAGGGGGGGAGGCTTCGTAGAAGGAGGCTGCTCCCAAGAAGGCGCCGGCCTTGCATCTACAGAGAGGGCCGGCGCCTTCGCAGAAACAGTGGTGCTTCTAAGAAGCCTTCCCCCCTCCACCTGCCCCCCCGCTACGCGTGGCCGAACCTGATCCACGTGTCCGCGAGGTCCACCCGGAAGGACTTCGCAGCCGCGTCGATCATCTCACCAAGCTGGCGATCGTTGGGCCACCCCGAGGACCAGGGGGGGGGGGCCCAGGAGCAGGCCACGGCACGGGAGGCTACTGCCCTGACGGCGCGGGCGCTGGCCAGAACCGAGGAACTCTCAAGCTGACGGCGAGCGCACATATTTCAGTCTGGCCCTGGGGCTCCACTGTCTACGGAACGCGTGCGGGCGTGCCTGACGTCACCGCACGGACCGCTCAGTGTGGCGCGGCGCGATCTCCACTGTCGGGGGGCTTTGAACATTGGACACCATCGGCGGCGCGGCCACCGCGCCGAGACGTCACGAACCTACCATGCCCTCCCAAGGCACATTAACTTTCTTCGGAAGATCCCCACGGGAGGTCCCCACCAGGAAACTGCCGCGAATGGTTTCAAAGTCTGTCGCGTGTGAGTCTACAGTGTAAGATGCTGAATAAACAGCGAAGCAACAAACAATGTGACTCGGTCTCTCGGAAGATTCCTAAAATGCTCAGGCGGCTCGCGCGATCCCGCGGAGTAGTTCGGCTCCTCCTACTTTATAACGCTGGTATCCCGAAACAAGAAGGGAATTTACTCCACCGAATCTTCAATGACAAATGTGACGGGTTGCGTACCCACGCGGAGTCAGATCGACTCCGCCCACTTCGCTTACCCCGCCAGCCGCCCGTCGCATATTACAAAGACCACCTACTACTCTTGCCCCAGTCGTGTAATTGCCGGCGCATGGTCGTTTGACATATTCTAACTGCTTGGTATGTGCAAACTTGGCTAACGCTGGATGGGTAACGCATGCAAGCAATGCTGGCCTGTGTTTTGTCACATGCGTACGCCCACCTTGAGATCATGCATAAATGTGTGTGTGTGTGGTTGGCGTGCGTTGCGGGTGCATGCGAACCCCACGTTAATGACATGTGTGGGATTGCCTGATGTAGTATGTCACGAACGCGCGTTCTAGATGTATGCTAAACATGGTAGCCGTTGGCTCAAGTTCGCATTGCATTGACATGATATCATGTTTCGCTGGATGCGGTGTGTGTTTGTACGGGCTGCACGTTTACAGTATACTATGGGCATACGTGTCTGGTGTATGATCGAGCTGCGTGTTGTTGACGTTATGCTGTTAGTGCATGCGATCGGTGCAGGGTGATGGTGATTGTTGTCTACGTTGTTGGTTGTTTGCTCTGATGACTGTGGTTGCACCCAGCAATTGATACTGTGCTGAGTATATTAGGCATTGGCGTATGATGGCGATGATGTGCATAACTGATGTATAGTGTTTGTGTGTGCGCGTTCTTGATGTACGTTGCCCGCGACTGACGTTTGATCATACTATACAGCAATGGTCGTGTTGTTGATGCGAGGTGTTCGTGCATACACTGATCGTGGTGTGTGTATGTGTGTTGTACGCCGCGTGCTCGCTATTTTTGCCCAGTGGTGATGCGCGTTCCAGGTTGAAGGTATTGGTGTAGGTTTGTGTCTGATGTTGGTCTCTGTCACGGGTGTGCGGTGATGATGCATTGTTTAGTGTATGATGGAGATGGCTGTTGTTGGCGTGTGCCATCGGTGATAGTTTGCACGCGTTGGTGTATTTGTTTGCCGTGTTGTATTGGCCCGTGTCCGTGGTGTCATTGCTGATGTCTGTGATTGACGTATGGTCTTGGCGTGCTGGACTCATGTAAGTTGTTGGCACATGTTCGTGATACATTTCAGTAGATGTGTATATATAGAAGTATGTGCTAGATATACGTGTACGGCGTGTGGCCATGCGCCTGGACGGCGTGACGCCTCCCTGGCGGGGCTCGGCGAAACGGGATCCTCAGGGACAGTCTGAGATTGTGTGGTCCTGGCGGCCGAGGCATGCGACGCTGGCGAAGCGGGATTCCCAAGGACCACTCGAGGGCATACCCGGGACACCTGGGGCCTGGCGGCCGCGGCATGCTTCGGCGGCGCGCCCGGGGGGAAGTGAGAAGAATAATGCCTTCTCAGAAGGCTCGGAAATCCCCGGGCCTTCTGATGAAGAGTGCTCTGAGCCGTCCCCGAAGACACGGAAAACTCCTCGGGAGGCGCGAGGGCTTCTGAGAGGTCCCGCCGCCTTCTGCGAAGGCCTCCTTGTCGTTGCCCCCCTCTCCCCGCCGCCGAATGCTGAGTGGGCGCGGACCAGCCGGGATCCCCAAGGCCTCGGACGCTGGGGGGGCCCCGCGGCTGCTCTCCCACCCGCCCTCCCTGGGGTGGTCAATGCGCTGGCCGGCCGGGGTCGTGAGAGGTCCTCGGGGGTCTCGCGTGCTTCCCCGTCCGGCCGCACGCTGTGCTTTGTCCAAAGGTCCGTGCGAGCGCACTGGACCACCGGGCAAGAATCTTCTCCTGACGAGGGGCCGCCAGCAAGCCTTGCAGTTAAAAACACCAAAAGGAAGAATCATGAAGTGGGTGAAGCGTCAGGCGGGCACTCCGCTTTGTTCACATGTTCTTGCTTACCGCGTGTAATCCAGAAGTGTACGTGATTTTACGCATGGCCATACCTGTAGACGACGCCTCGAGCGCGAGCCCTCTCTTCAAAAAAACGTCATCCAACCGTCCACTGAAGAGGTACGCGGCACTACGGCGAGAATCACATGTTGACAACGGGCCGCCCTCCATTTGCGCAGTTGCTTGGGGTCCCCAACCTCGGGACCATACTAACTAAGAGTACCAGGAGAAACGCCATGCCCACCGTACAAAGGCACTACTTGCTGCGACGGCAACGCGACGACGAGTTGACCATACGACACACAAGCGGAGGAGGACGAGGAGGAGTGCGAGGAGGAATCCAATGACGAGCAGGAGAAGGAAGAGAAATATGATCGAGCAGGGAGAGGAGAAGAGGAGGAGGAGGAGGAGCAGGAGGAGGAGGAGGAGGAAGAGAAGGATGAGGAGGAGGAGGAGGAGAGAGGATGGAGGAGGAGGAGGAGGAGGAGGCGGAGTTGGGAGGAGTTTAAGGAGGAGGAGGAGGAGGAGGAGGAGGAGGAGGAGGAGGAGGAGGAGGAGGAGGAGGAGTTGGAGGAGGAGAAGTTGGAGTTTGAGGAGGAGGTGGAGGAGGAGAAAACACAGCCACTGAGAGCGGACCATCTATCTGCCATCTAGGCCCATGGGCGCGTGGGGCCAGCATCCCGTGCCTCTCAGGATGCCGTCGAAATACAGTGGAAACCGAGGGCAGGCTCGACAACGGCGGCGCCGACAGAGTGCGGCGACGTATCCCCACCGTCGAAACCGAGGGGGGGGGAGGAGGAGCAGGAGGAGGAGGAGGAGGAAGAGGAGGAGGAGGAGGAGGAGGAAGGAGGAAGGGGTCGAGGAGGAGGAGGAGGAAAAGGAGGAGAGGAGGAGGAAAAGGAGGAGGAGGAGGATGAGGGGAGGAGGAGGAGGAGAGAAGGAGGAGGAAGAGGAGGAGGAGGAGGAAAAGGAGGAGGATGAAGAAGGGGATGCTGCTGATGATGATTATGATGATGATGATGATGATGATGATGATGATGATGATGATGATGATGATGAGGAGGAGGATGAGGAGGAGGAGGAAAAGGAGGAGGAGAGGGAAGAGGAGACAGGAGGAGGAGGAGGAAGAGGAGGAGGAGGAAGAAGAAGAAGAAGAGGTGGTGGAGGAGGAGGAGGAGGAAGAGGAAGGAGGAGCGAGTAGGAGCGAAGGAGTAGGACGAGGAGCGAGGGTGGAGAAGGAGACGGAGGAGGAACGAGGAGGAACGAGGAGGAACGGGGGGAGAAGGGGGACAAGGGAGGAGCGAGGAGGGTGAAGGGTGGTGGGGTGAGAGGAAAAGAGAGACTGATGCTGTGGCCGATGAGGGATAAGGGGTCTGGGATACTTGTGTTGCCTCCCCCTAAATACGCCCCCTGGCCCTTCGGAGGGGCCGAATGACCACGGCGCTGAGCACCACCCTGTTCAGCTGGAAGCCTCGCCGCTGAAGCTCCGCCATCCACCTCTCGGCACTCTCGTCGTCGCCGCTCTTCGCGGCCGCCTCGATCAGCTTCCCAAAGGTCTGCACCTCAGATCGCATTCCATCTCCTTTTCCTCCCTCCTCCCTCCTCCCTGTTCCCTCCTCCCTCCTCCCTGCTCCCTCCTCCTTGCTCCCTGCTCCCCCCTCCCTCCTCCCTCCTCCTTCCTCCTCCTTCCTCCTCCCTCCCCCTCGTCTTCCTTCCCTCCCTTCTCCCTCCTCCCTCCTCCCTCCTCCTTCCTCCCTCCCCCCTGCCTCCTCCTCCTCGTCCTCCTCCTCCTCCTCGTCCTCCTCGTCCTCCTCGTCCTCCTCGTCCTCCTCGTCCTCCTCGTCCTCCTCTCGTCCTTCCTCGTCCTCCTCCTCCACCTCCTCCCTCCTCCTTCCTCCTTGTCCTCCTCCCTCGTCCTCCTCGTCCTCCCGTCCTCCTCGTCCTCCTCGTCCTGCTCGTCCTACCTCTCCCTCCTCCTCCTCCTCCCTCCTCCTCCTCCTCCTCCTCCTTGTCCTCCTCCTCGTCCTCCTCCTCGTCCTCCGCGTCCTCCGCGTCCTTCCGTCCTCCTCGTCCTCCTCGTCCTCGTCCTCGTCCTCCTCCTCCTCCTCCTCCTCCTCCACATCCTCCTCCTCCTCCTCCTCCTCCTCCTCCACAATTACTCAATATGAATACTACTCTCCATCTTCCCCTGATGACGGTTTGAAAGTGCTCGACCCCCCCCCCTGCGTACTGTTTTTTACACACAGGTTTCCCCGGAGTTGGGTTTTCGCCTGCATTTGTTTCAAAATGCTGCTCTCGCTGAGGCGCCGGCTTCATTTTTGGGCCCCGCTCGTTCCGAATCGTGCTCCCGCTGCAGCGCTGGCCTCATTTCCGTGCTTCCGCTCGTTCCGACTCGTGCTCCCGCTGCAGCGCTGGCCTCATGTCCGCGCGTCCGCTCGTTTCGACTCGTGCTCCCGCTGCAGCGCTGGCGTCATTTCCCGTGCCATGCCACAGCATGCAATGCAATGCTAGGTTGATGCTACGCTTTGCGGTG